CATATTTTTAAAAATTGTGTATTTTTAAGGTTTTAATGAATCATGTATTCCAAAATTAAGAATAAGCACAGTAAAATAGTCATCCAAATATTCATGGAACTCCATTTCATTTAGACTATGAGATGAGCATGGTAAGTATAGTTTCATGTGGTTAAATTCAGTTGCAACTTCCTCAGCAGAATCTCTTCAGCTATTTAAACATCTGCAGCCTCTGCAAAGGCATAAGACCAAATCCACTACTGAGAATCCATGCTTGCTTTCCCTAGTGTCTGAAGTCATAACACCTTTCTTGAACCTGTTATGATTCTTTAGAGTAGAAACTTTTTCCTTTGCATTGGGAGCAACTAGTCCTTTGATTCATAAGCAGTAGCCATTCAAAACATATTTAAATTGGGCCGGGGATTTAGCTCAGTGGTTCTACCTCCTGCCTTGTAAGCGCAAGGACCCAAGTTTGATCCCCAGTACCAAAAAAAGAAAGAAAAACATATATTAAGCTAAATTATTTATTCTTCTGTGCATTAGCAACTGTTTTGAAACATAAACCCTTGGGCATGCTGAAGCCTTACATGCCCCATCTATAGCCAAGCCGGAGGCCACGTTCATTCTAATTTCCTTTAACAATTTATTTAAAAGTCTGAGTTGCCAAATAAGACTGGCTCTTAAACAGCGTGGTGGCTCCCGCCTTTAGTCCCAGCACTCAGGAGGCTGAGACAGGAGGATCACTGTGAGTTTGAGACCAGCCTGGGCTACACAGTGGGTTTCAGGTCAGTCTCAACTACATAGTGAGACCTTGTCTCAAAAAAAACCAAAAAAAAACCTGGTTTTTATAAATTCTTTAAATTACTCAGGCATAGTGGCACATACCTGTAATCCCTGTACAAGAGGTTGAGGCAAGAGGATCACTGTGAATTCGAGGCCGGGCTGGGCTACATAGTACCAGCCTAAAGTACATAGCAGGACCCTGCCTGTCTAAAAGAAATCTTGAAATTAATCAAAGTATAGTATTATATAAAACTGTAAAGCATATGCTAGGTATGATAAAACTTTAACTTTTTTCTCTATTGTTGCTTTTCTATATGTCCTGTTTTTTGCAAAATCTTGCTATGTAGTTCAGGCTGGCCTCAAACTCACTATGTAGCTAGGATTGGCCTTGAACTCACAGTGATCCTCCTGCCTCAGCCTCCCAAGTGCTGGGATTACAGACATGCACCCCCACATGTGGCTTCTCTTTTGTCTTTTTTGAGATAGAGTATTTTGATGAGAGAGAGAGTATTATGGGTGGAATTCACATTTTCTCGTTATTCAGCTTTGTCTTTCATGATATAAGGAAGATCATAGTGTAGCATCCAAAGAAAATCTGCAACATAGGATATACACAATTTGATTGCTTTATTCTCCTGTCAATGGCAGAACCATTGACGAAATTATTCCAGATTTGTGGCTTCATTCTGATGCTCAGTTTTGAGTCAAATCAGATAGGCCTTGTCAAAGTTCTGGTTTGCCCACCTCAGTGGGGATACTCTTAGCCAATCACAAAAGTGACACATGACAGGTTGGTCCAAATTAAAATCAAAATTAAAATGATCTTTGCCTTAGTTGAAAACAAGAGTAACATTGATACCAATACTATTACTGATACATTGACATAATCTTTCAATTTTCTTTGCTAAAATAGGATAAATTATTCACACAATAACAAAGTTGCATTTGAGTTACAGTTCAGCCAATTTTAAAAGGTGAGACTTTTCAACCCTACATTCTAGTTTTCCCACATTTGGGGAAGGAAACAAATGGCCAATTGTGTATACAAGTGAAACTCTAAAGGATTAAACTTTTGGAATTTTTACCTATACACTCAAAAGCTAAAAAATTACAACTCAAGAACTGCTTATCAGCCAGCCATCTCACAGAACTGTGGAGAGAACAAATTCATTTATCTGTCATCAGTACCTTAACTTATATAACCTGGAGTCAGGTAGTCCTTGAGATTTAAATCTACTGGAGAAAGAAGTTATGCAAAAAGTTTGGTTGGGCTCACTTCTGTGGGTTTTGGCTTTCTTCTTGCAGACAATCCCCAGAGCATGCTCCAACGTGGCAGAAATTTGGCAGGGCCTTAAAATCTCCTTCTCAAAACATATCAATGACTGTTTCAAGTAACGACAGTCAAGTTGTAATTCTTTTTTTTTTTTTTTTTTTTTTTATCCAAATTGTAATTCTTAAATGAATCTCCAATATGGAATGTGTACAGGTTTAAAAAACTAAAAAAGCAAAGAAACAGTAATTTTCTTAAATTTCCCCTAAATATTTAGCAGTCATATTTGCGGTATCATTACACTTTCAATCTGATATCAACACAAAGCCTGCTGGATTATAAACTCAATACTTTAATGATATGAATTTCCAACTTCAGAGATTGAGAATTTGAGGTTGTTTATCCCTCACATGTGCTTGTTTCCTAGGGGTGTTTTCAATCTATTTAGTCATAAACATTTAACTTTTCATATTCTGGGCATATAATTGGCTGGGAGCTTTCCCGAGAAAACTTTCTTATTTGTTTTTAAAGAAATTATTTTCACTGGGACTTACATACTTATACCAAATCCTCTTAGGGCCGAGGATTTAGCTCAGTGGTGCAGCCACCTGCCTCGCAAGTACAAGGTCCTGAGTTTGATCCCTGGTACCAAAAACAAAAACAAAAACCAAAACCAAATCCTCTTGTAACCTCAGTTGACTATGTTCAGATTACATTAAAATGAAAAAAGCTAAATTAGAAAGCAATTCTTCGGTTAGCAGTTCTAGACTGCACAAACCAGTTGTGGAATGATACAAAAATTTCCAGGCACCATCATTAGAGATTCAGTAAGTATGGGGAAAAGTTTGTAATCTACCTTTTCAATAAACACCCCAAGGGCATCTGCTGCAATCTGTCTACAGAACACTTTGAAAACTGTTTACTCAGTTCAGGAAAAAACTTTGACTCTCACAATTTCTATATAAAAAAATGCATGAGCAAAGCTAACGAGTCAGAAATTTTGTTCAAGTCCTGAAAACTACACTGAAGAGGAAACCCTGCTTTATTTTTTATCATTCTAATTCTTCCTTAGATCATCAGCATTGAAATTTAAGCATATTAGAATGAACATTCAGTATCCTGAAGTGGAAGAAGCTTAAGAGTAAATAATCTCTAAATTAATTTAATCTGGTGTTGCAGGAGAACGTTCAGAAGAACCAAAGGTTCTAAGAGCAGTGTATGAGCTTAGGAGACTGGATGGTTCCTTGAAAGCCAATTTTAAAACACAACAGAAGACAACCTGTTCTAAGGCCTTTTAACCCAAGAGAACAGGAAACAAGAGATTAAACAATAATGACAAGTAAATCATTTCCTAGACTTCCGGTGATTCTTGGCAAGAGGTTGTGCTTTTGAAAAAAAAAAAAAATCACCAGCCACAAAGTGACTAATCAAGTGACTTAAAAAAACCTAATATTTGTCAAGATGGGCTTGTGGCAGCTTGCTGTTTCTTTGTTCCCAAAAGACAACTCCGAATCACACTGTTGCCACACTGCATCTTTTTTCCAGAGTAAAATTTAAGTTGTTCTAGATAATAGGATCAAAAAAGGTAGGACTTCAAGTGGCCCTACTTTGGGATGACCTGTAACACCAATACTGGACAAAATGGCATATTATAACCAAATCAAAATGTTTACTCTTTTTTAACACAAGAAATTTGGTGAAACAGTGATGATCTTCAGTGCCTAAAACCTAGTAGACTAGAAAAAAGTCATGATCAGCTAAGAAAACATTTTTTGCCTCAATTACAAGAACTGATCTGTGTACGTATGTTCTATGCTCAACACACAGACAACATTCAGTAAATGTTTGCTGAACTAAACTTGTTCCTCTAGTTTTGAGTTATCTTCAAGGCATTCATTCTTCATATTGTATGCTAAGAAAAATGTCTAATTGTTAATCTTTTGAGAAATCTTAAGTAAACCAGCTCCAATTAAAGAAAAAAAAAAACCCTTGCATAACATAGGCATATCAAAGGCAAGACAACAAATCTGCAAAAACAATGGAAAAAGCAGAGCCATCTAAGTAGACAGTCAAAGAATGAGTTCTAAAATGATTAAATACAGTCAAGGGTCCAGGTATTTCTCTTTTGATAGGCAGAATTACTTCTCAAAAAAAAAAGAAATCATCCAATCTACCTTACATTATAGCAGCAGTCATAAGATAAAAATCATCTGAAAGACAAGCAAAACTATTTCAAAACTATGCCAGCCTTAACATGAAATGCAGTTTCTTGCACCAGAAACAAAAAAAGGTAAAATAAGACCAAACAGCTCAGTTTAATTTCAAACGTTAATATATTTTCTATTTTATATCGAACATATGCATCTGTAACCCCTCATTTGCAGCAACTATCACACCCTTGTGAAAGGGGCAAAATTTGTAAGATGCCTCTTAAAATAAATATTCTTTTTTATAAAATAATAAAACTTCAAATAAATATTCTTTACACTAAACAATATGTTGAAAAAAATTAGAAAATAAAGGTTGAATTTTACTGTAACTGTACAATATACATGAAGTCCAAAGGGAAATCAGAGTCTTACAATAAAGGCTTTCTGTAAGGCAAAATACAATCTAAAAACATACTGATTGATTCACATTCTTCCGAATGTACAACATATTAGTATAATATTTTGTGACTGTGCCATGTAGTATGGCACAACTTGTTTTTCACAGTTGCAAATATTATTGTATATACAAAAATATAGCACATTATCTCTGGAGAAAACAATGGGAAAAAAGTCATCTGCTAATTTACAAATCTTGCAAAGACTATTCACAAACAAAAACTGCCTAGGAGTGTCTTTTGCTTTAGCTTATGCAGTATGTGGGTCACCAAGTTCTGTACCCCTCACTTTGAGCTCCATTAGCTGATTCTAACAAGCGTGTCAGTTAAAATGGCAAAAGGACAAAAAGCATCTCACTGCAAACAGCAAAGAATATCCCAACCCTCTATTAACAGCGCCAAGATTACAATTGTTTAGTTGGTTGCATCTGTGTGTTAAAAAAAAAAAAGAAAATGAAAAAAGGAACAATCCTTATTACTGTAATATTCCGGATTAATAATGCTATGTTGGTTTTTCAAAGTTCCTGGGGGGGACAGTGGGAACTTTGCAGCAAACTGTATTGGAATTTTTACAACGACATCCAGGCCTGTTGACCCGATCATAACAACCCTGGCACAATTTAAGGCAACCCTTGGCTGGAAGGTAACACCATAAACAAGGCAAAAAGAGGGACATAACACCCATGGCCGACCACCGAGTACAGCAGTGAGACTGGCTGCAAGAACACGGGTTGTCAGCGCAGTTGTCCTCGTCATCATTAGAACAGTGATAGAAGAGACCTTTCACACAGCACACACAAGTCCCATAGTCAATCACGTTCTGGGCCGAGCAAAGGCACTGCTTGTCGCAGATCCAGTCTGATGGCAGGGGCCTCGGGTAGGTGCACTCCTTACATTTGCACTTGCCACAGTCCTCACACCTGTAGGCGTGCAGGGCCAAATCTTCCTTGCTCAGAGGCTTCAGCTCACCTGGTTTGAGCTCAGATTTGGGCTGCACTCGGATTATCCCATCAATAAGTGGCCCCGAGGAGAAAGATGATCCCAAAAGTCTCTGTTCAGAGGAGCTGCTGCTGGTACTTGTCCTTGTGCTGCCGCGCGACCCTGAGCTGACTGTGCTGATGGACCTGGACAATGGAGCACGCAGAGACGAGTGGACTTGCGAGTGCTGCAGCCTGGGAGGCTGTCGGTGCTCAGGCAGGCCGTGGAGTCTCTCATGTTTGTGCTGGGTGGAGGGGCGAGGAGCAGACTTGAGCCCGGGTCTGGGGACCACAGTAGGCCCCTCTGTATACTCATTGGTGTTTCGGATGGCTCTGATCTGATCCAAAGACAGCACGTGTACCTGCTGGGTGAGGGCGTCTCTGGGGTCGGGCTCCCCACGCTGCCTGCCACTGTCTCGGGGTGCCTGCAGCAAAGGCTGCGACCCGTTACCACTCTGAGCTCTGGTCTCCATCAGGCCTTGGAAGTGTGGTCACTCCAGCAGGCTTAGAACACATCTGCACTCCTGGAGAAACCAAGAGGAAAGACAATGGTTTACTCTCTAAGGTACTGCCCACTCCCCACCCACCTGAGCTGACTCTCTGCTTCCCACATCTCCTAGAGGTGGAATTTGAAAGGAAGCAGCACTGAAGAGAAGAACAGACTTATGATCAAGGCGCATACTGGAAAGTAAGAATTAGGGCTGGGCACTGATAATTCTGCAACCCCGTGATGTGCAGTGACACAAGGCTGATCTTTGTCTGAGTCACTTAAGTAACAATCCCTTATTCAAATAAACATACAGTCTGGACGGTACAGGTTCAACGTAAAAACTGCAAGAGCAATGCTGAAGCATAAAACTGCTTCCAACGTTTTCAAAAATTGAGCTACCTTTTCAAAACAATTGGTTTAAATTTGCCATTTTTGCCTTGAACATCAATAAAGGCAGCCTAGAAAATTCTTCATCTGCCTTTACAGCACCCTTCCAATATGCCCTGTCCAGTATGTTGTAACTTTTCCACATTCTGCAGGATGAATGCCATGCATTTCTCCAGGGTCAGTTCCAAACTCTGCAAATTTTAACTATCTAGTAACACAATTATAGGATTAAAAACAAATCACCTCAAATCCTATTAGGTACCAGAAAACACTAAAGCATATTATCCAACAAGCAACAAAAAGATAGGAACTTATTTTCAATTTCAGAATCACATATTCTACAGCCTGATAGCCTAGAACACCTCAGAATCTGTACCCCAAAGTTTGTTCTGATTTAGAAATAAAATGTCTTTTGTACTTTTTAAGAAATTAATGGCTGAGAACATAGACCAAATGATACCAATAGGAAGTTTTACAAATTCAAGTGTCACGTTTAAAAACCTAGCATTCTGTCACATAATCCCCTAAATTGCAGTCCCTTTAGATTTCAAAACTAGCCTCTATGTCCCGAGCCTACATGAAAATAAAATTAAACAGGTAAAAGCCGACCTCTATCCAATCTCTGATTTTTAGAAAAGAGCTGTAGCGAACGAGGCAGGTGACAAACGCCTCCCACTTCAGAACAAGGCAGAGGTAGAAACCGGATCTGCTCACCTCCAATCGAATGGCAGACAAGACAACGTTTCTCTTTGCTTATACTCCCTTTATCGTCTCTATCTGCGCCCCAACACCGTCCCCAGCAGGTGGGACACAGCCAGAACCCCCGGGGACTTTTCTCCAGGCTGGATGACGCTGTTTGGGGGCCAGGCTGCCCCGCCACCCCCGCGTACACTCCCAGACGGGGGATGGGGGGGCTCAGAAGGGAACGTGTCCTGCAGCCCAGGAGCGCACTTCCCCCGCCCCCCCTTCCCCACTAAAACTCCCCCCACTCCGGAGAACCGC